ACACCTGATAAGTGAGTCTGGCTACATGCGGCAGTGATCAATATTCCTGGTATATCTGAGGAGACGACACCTGATAAGTGAGTCTGGCTATATGCGGCAGTGATCAATATTCCTGGTATATCTGAGGAGACGACACCTGATAAGTGTGTCTGGCTATATGCGGCAGTGATCAATATTCCAGGTATATCTGAGGAGTCGACACCTGATAAGTGAGTCTGGCTACGGCAGTGATGCGGCAGTGATCAGTGAGTCTGGCTATTCCATCAATATTCCAGGTATATCTGAGGAGACGACACCTGATAAGTGAGTCTGGCTACATGCGGCAGTGATCAATATTCCTGGTATATCTGAGGACTTCACACCTGATAAGTGAGTCTGGCTACATGCGGCAGTGATCAATATTCCAGGTATATCTGAGGAGACGACACCTGATAAGTGAGTCTGGCTACATGCGGCAGTGATCAATATTCCTGGTATATCTGAGGAGACGACACCTGATAAGTGAGTCTGGCTATATGCGGCAGTGATCAATATTCCAGGTATATCTGAGGAGACGACACCTGATAAGTGAGTCTGGCTACATGCGGCAGTGATCAATATTCCAGGTATATCTGAGGAGACGACACCTGATAAGTGAGTCTGGCTATATGCGGCAGTGATCAATATTCCAGGTATATCTGAGGAGACGACACCTGATAAGTGAGTCTGGCTACATGCGGCAGTGATCAATATTCCAGGTATATCTGAGGAGACGACACCTGATAAGTGAGTCTGGCTACATGCGGCAGTGATCAATATTCCAGGTATATCTGAGGAGACGACACCTGATAAGTGAGTCTGGCTACATGCACAGTGATCAATATTCCAATATTCCTGGTATATCTGAGGACTTCACACCTGATAAGTGAGTCTGGCTACATGCGGCAGTGATCAATATTCCAGGTATATCTGAGGAGACGACACCTGATAAGTGAGTCTGGCTACATGCGGCAGTGATCAATATTCCTGGTATATCTGAGGACTTCACACCTGATAAGTGAGTCTGGCTACATGCGGCAGTGATCAATATTCCAGGTATATCTGAGGAGACGACACCTGATAAGTGAGTCTGGCTACATGCGGCAGTGATCAATATTCCAGGTATATCTGAGGAGACGACACCTGATAAGTGAGTCTGGCTACATGCGGCAGTGATCAATATTCCTGGTATATCTGAGGAGACGACACCTGATAAGTGAGTCTGGCTACATGCATCAGTGATCAATATTCCTGGTATATCTGAGGAGATGACACCTGATAAGTGAGTCTGGCTACATGCGGCAGTGATCAATATTCCTGGTATATCTGAGGAGACGACACCTGATAAGTGAGTCTGGCTACATGCGGCAGTGATCAATATTCCTGGTATATCTGAGGAGACTTCACACCTGATAAGTGAGTCTGGCTACATGCGGCAGTGATCAATATTCCTGGTATATCTGAGGAGACGACACCTGATAAGTGAGTCTGGCTATATGCGTCGGCAGTGATCAATATTCCTGGTATATCTGAGGAGACGACACCTGATAAGTGAGTCTGGCTATATGCGGCAGTGATCAATATTCCAGGTATATCTGAGGAGACGACACCTGATAAGTGAGTCTGGCTACATGCGGCAGTGATCAATATTCCAGGTATATCTGAGGAGACGACACCTGATAAGTGAGTCTGGCTACATGCGGCAGTGATCAATATTCCTGGTATATCTGAGGACTTCACACCTGATAAGTGAGTCTGGCTACATGCGGCAGTGATCAATATTCCAGGTATATCTGAGGAGACTGAGGAGACACACTGATAAGTGAGTCTGGCTACATGCGGCAGTGATCAATATTCCTGGTATATCTGAGGAGACGACCCTACATGATAAGTGAGTCTGGCTATATGCGGCTATATGTGATCAATATTCCAGGTATATCTGAGGAGACGACACCTGATAAGTGAGTCTGGCTACATGCGGCAGTGATCAATATTCCTGGTATATCTGAGGAGACGACACCTGATAAGTGAGTCTGGCTACATGCGGCAGTGATCAATATTCCAGGTATATCTGAGGACTTCACACTGCGGCAGTGATCAATATTCCTGGTATATCTGAGGAGACGACACCTGATAAGTGAGTCTGGCTACATGCGGCAGTGATCAATATTCCTGGTATATCTGAGGAGACGACACCTGATAAGTGAGTCTGGCTACATGCGCAATATTCCAATGGTATATCAGTGATCAATATTCCATCAATATTCCTGGTATCTGAGGAGATCACACCTGATAAGTGAGTCTGGCTACATGCGGCAGTGATCAATATTCCAGGTATATCTGAGGAGACGACACCTGATAAGTGAGTCTGGTTACATGCGGCAGTGATCAATATTCCAGGTATATCTGAGGACTTCACACCTGATAAGTGAGTCTGGCTACATGCGGCAGTGATCAATATTCCAGGAATATCTGAGGAGACGACACCTGATAAGTGAGTCTGGCTACATGCGGCAGTGATCAATATTCCAGGTATATCTGAGGAGATGACACCTGATAAGTGAGTCTGGCTACATGCGGCAGTGATCAATATTCCTGGTATATCTGAGGACTTCACACCTGATAAGTGAGTCTGGCTACATGCGGCAGTGATCAATATTCCAGGTATATCTGAGGAGACGACACCTGATAAGTGAGTCTGGTTACATCGCGCAGTGATCAATATTCCTGGTATATCTGAGGAGATCGACACCTGATAAGTGAGTCTGGCTACATGCGGCAGTGATCAATATTCCAGGTATATCTGAGGAGACGACACCTGATAAGTGAGTCTGGCTATATGCGGCAGTGATCAATATTCCAGGTATATCTGAGGAGACGACACCTGATAAGTGAGTCTGGCTACATGCGGCAGTGATCAATATTCCAGGTATATCTGAGGAGACGACACCTGATAAGTGAGTCTGGCTATAGGCGGCAGTGATCAATATTCCAGGTATATCTGAGGACTTCACACCTGATAAGTGAGTCTGGCTAGATGCGGCAGTGATCAATATTCCAGGAATATCTGAGGAGACGACACCTGATAAGTGAGTCTGGCTACATGCGGCAGTGCTTATATTCCTGGTATATCTGAGGACTTCACACCTGATAAGTGAGTCTGGCTATATCCGGCAGTGATCAATATTCCCGGTATATCTGAGGAGACGACACCTGATAAGTAAGTCTGGCTACATGCGGCAGTGATCAATATTCCAGGTATATCTGAGGAGATGACACCTGATAAGTGAGTCTGGCTACATGCGGCAGTGATCAATATTCCAGGAATATCTGAGGAGACAACACCTGATAAGTGAGTCTGGCTAAATGCGGCAGTGATCAATATTCCAGGTATATCTGAGGAGACGACACCTGATAAGTGAGTCTGGCTACATGCGGCAGTGATCAATATTCCAGGTATATCTGAGGAGACGACACCTGATAAGTGAGTCTGGCTACATGCGGCAGTGATCAATATTCCTGGTATATCTGAGGAGACGACACCTGATAAGTGAGTCTGGCTACATGCGGCAGTGATCAATATTCCAGGTATATCTGAGGAGACGACACCTGATAAGTGAGTCTGGCTACATGTGGCAGTGATCAATATTCCAGGAATATCTGAGGACTTCACACCTGATAAGTGAGTCTGGCTACATGCGGCAGTGATCAATATTCCAGGTATATCTGAGGAGACGACACCTGATAAGTGAGTCTGGCTACATGTGGCAGTGATCAATATTCCAGGTATTTCTGAGGAGACGACACCTGAAGTGGGTTCCACACGTGTCCAGCTGGAGAAATGGCCCACGTGTTTGTCACAAGCAATCACTTTAACCACTAGCAGGGTTTGACCTCAACTCAAATACATCGGAGTCCCAAAGACCCCTAATTATTAGTGTTAAGGGTCCTTCACACTTATTTCGAATTAACAGGAATCCAGGAGAATCAGCCAGAAAAAATTGTGTTTTTCCAAAATTCGAACCGCATTCGGGAGAGAATGTCAAAATAATTATTTTTTTCAAACTTGCTGTTGGAATACTTAGAACGCACTTCGAACCCGCCTCCAGTGATTCTTACTCATTCCAAATGTACTGGATCACGAATGCAGCTCTAATGAATCGGAATACAGTAGGACTGACTGACTGAGTTTGGTTTTACGCCGCTTTTAGCAATATTCCAGCAACATCACGGCAGGGGACACCAGAAATGGGCTTCACACATTGTACCCATGTGGGGATTCAAGATCAAGATGGTGTATTGTACATAAGGCCTCTGGCCCGTATACATAGTATTGTAATGACAGGCAAGGTATGGACATTGCAAACAGTGGAAAGCATCATAACAATGTTAGAAAAAATAAATATAAAGAATCATCATGAGGGGATTCGAACCCGGGTCTTCGGCGTGACGAGCCGCCCCCGGAATACAGTAGGAAAAACTAGAATGCCGTTAGAATACACTAAGAATACTTAAAATGAATTTCGACTGCCGTACGAGGCCGGTTCCATTGCTGCGTGAATAGCACTCGAATTTAAGTTGGAACGTACCTCGAATGCTGTACGCATTTACATAGAATGCATTCAGAACCCTCTTGGAATGACCCCCGACTATGGATAGAATGTTAAAGAATGAAAACGGAATGCAGCTCGAATATAGAGAACTGTGTAGAGAACTTTCTTTTTTGATAATTTCTTTAGAACCTGGAATGAATCATTGATCATGTGGACTGATGGGCGACATGATGCACGCAACTGCTCTGAAAGGAACAGAGCTGTCGGAAGGGCCTTATTTCATACACTGGCATCCCTCTAGACGCAGTGATTTGTTTCTCGGCGTCCATTCTCTACATCTGTGCACACTGTACACACATTTGCGCATGGCATAAAGCCCTGTACCATGCTTCCACATCAGCATGAAGGCTAAATGACAAGGACTTCAACTGGAGCTTTGTGAAACTTTATTCTATTGTGTACAACTTATTCAAACCACATGTAAATTGCAGCAAGCAGTAGTGAGGGGGAAATAGCGGGTAACAGTGTCTTACAATGTTTTCAGAAGTCTTCCATTTGATTCCCAAACATTCACTGTTACTCCAGAGTTTGAGATAGATGAGGATTTACTTTCAGATGACCTTTGAATGATCTCTAAGTACCTGTATAGATTAGCATAACTTTGATAGAATGTTTATGGTATCCATGGATCTGCTGAAGGGGCACCTGTTCAGGGGGCATCTGCATAGGGGGCACCTGTTGAAGGATAACTGATGATGAATACATTGGTGAATGGTGAGTGTGATGATCAAGCCATCGGGTGATGACTGCTGAATGACTTGTATCAAAACGTTTTAAACATTTGGCATCACCAGACAACCTGTTTGGCCACTTCATCACCAGACAACCTGCTTGGCCATTTAATCACCAGACAACCTGTTTGGCCACTTCATCACCAGACAACCTGCTTGGCCATTTCAGCAATACTGACTAACATATTTAACAGAAAACCTTGACACATAATCTGCTGAAAAAGCTGAAAACCGGAAATTGCGGAGTAATAGGAAAATAGACATCATTAATATTGTATCATTGTCAAAAAAATAGATATCAACATACCTGCATAATTTCAGGTAAAAAATACTGCACTGTACTTAGCCTATGTAAAATACAAACTATCATAACGGAAAAAAGTAACTGTGCATAACATAAAATTGCATAAAATAAAAGTTATTTGAAAAGTTAGAAAAATAACCCTAAATAAACATGTAGCAAAGCACTGTGCATGAAATTTCATATCACGTATAGTGCTTGGCTCGTGCACTTCGTCTTTTTTCGTGCTTTTTTAAACGTGGAGTTCACATACTTGATATTGAAAATGAAGAACGGTTGATTACACTCTAGCCTCTGAATCTTGTGGAAAACATGCTAATTTCAACCTAAACTGCACTTAAGTCATGCCAGATTTCCTGAGACAGCAGAACATTCCAGTACTCCCCTAGCCAGCTGTTTCTCCGGACCTGTCGTCTATCGAGCACGCTTGGGATGAAATGGAGAGACGCTTACGTCAAGCCCAGAGTCAGCCATTGACGTCAGCTGAACTGGGACAAGCGCTGGTCCAGACATGGAACAACAACAATGTCGTCAGTGTCAAGCCTGCATCAACAGACAGACAGACACGAAACTGAATTTGTGAACTGACTTTTGACACCACATCTCTTAAAGTGCGTGTCACGATCATACAGATTTCGATATTATCCAGTCAACAGTTAATCAGTGATTAAGGAAAACACCACAAATCATGTAATTACCTTTTGGATTGAAAAATGGCATAACAACAAATAACGCACAGTTACTTTATTCCAGTAGTAATTAACATCTTGTTTCAGTATTTATAGTGTAGACACTTGCTTGATTGGCCAGTATTTATAGTGTAGAAATGACACTTGCTTGATTGGCCAGTATTTATATTGTAGAAATGACACTTGCTTGATTGGCCAGTATTTATAGTTTAGAAATGACACTTGCTTGACTGGCCAGTAAAGCTACACATAAACACCAGACAGCAGTCACTACTTACACTTCTGACCAATCAGCAATTGCCACCAAAACAACACAGGGAGATAACCCTTAATCATACTTTTATTTGCTTCTTTATAAGAGTTGATAGAGACAGAAACACTACAGCTATATTTATACCAGAAAATGTCTGAAAACTTTAACAATATAACACAGTCCATGCAGTAATATCTTCAGGAAGTGAATTATGTTCCTGCAAAGCCTGTAATCACCAAACACACTTTTCAAAATACAAAAATCATTAAGCACAATGAAAATAAATATTCACAATTTCAATTCCTGTTTTTACAATGCCTTAGATTATTTGTCAGTGGTCTCCATTAACACTGGTGTGTGTGTGAGATGGGTGAAGAAGGTGCACAGGATGCATTCAGATTCCAACAATAAATAGAGCAGTCCTCCTTCCCACAACAAGTTCCTGTACAGAACTACAGGTTGCCAGGTAACACAAACAATAAACAGTTAACAAACTCCATGATTGTCAGTATGATCACAATTATCATCACCATGGCGATATGATGATTTTTTGTTATAAAAATTAAGAAGTGCCATTTAGTGGGAAGCTGCACACAGACACACCACACACGCAATTCAACAGAACATAGGCTGGGGGGCCTGCATAGCAACTGTCAAACAATGACCACAGTTGTGAGTGAGTGAGTGAGTTGAGTTTTACGCCGCACTCAGCAATATTCCAGCTATATGGCGGCAGTCTGTAAAGAATCGAGTCTTAACCAGACAATCCAGTGATCAACAGCATGAGCATCGATCTACACAATCTGAACCACAGTTGTCAGCCACAGTGGTGTATGGAAGGGTCTAATGCCACATCTATCCGTTTCAACGATAATTTGTCAGATTAATGAGGGAATGACAACGAGACATTGGTTGCACACATCAAAACAGAATGAAAATTTGTAGGATTAACGATGAAAATCTGAAACTTGTGATCTCTATCTTCAAGACTAGGCCTTGCTGATAGACACAACTCTGTGATATAAAATGGCTAGAAGGTCAAGGTTACCATATGAATTATAATTCTGAATTTATCCCCAACCAAGACATAACAAAATACCAATACTCTCATTCCACAATCAACATATGTGTTTGTTTGAGAGTTGTATGCCGACGGTATATATATATACACACAAGGGTTATTGCATGGTCATCACTGATTGCTAAAGGTCGCCTTCTCCCGACTCACTGATTGGTTTAAGAGGCTGACCTTTCACATAGCCTTGACTCTCAGATTCATTTTCCGACTCTGTTACGCTTCCGCTGTGCACAGTATCGATATCTGAGTTCTCCTCCACTCCAGAGAGATTTGTATTGGACGCATCCACCCAGCTCTGTATGCGGTCGTTATCACTCAGCTTCAGGCGAGTCTGACCGGGCACTGGACTCTCACACGGCTTTGTGACATCGGACTTGCTCCTATCCATCCCTATCAAGTCCGTCATGATGGTTGAGCTCCCGTCGCCGATTGTCCGTGATGAGTGGGTCGACATCACCTCGCTTCTATCCAAAGTGCGGCCAGAATGTTGAGAGAGAATTTCAGCACTGAGATCAAAGTTTCCTGTGTGGATGGAGTCGATATGTGGCAGCTCCTCCACGGTGTCAGATGCATGCTGGGAACTGGCTGTGTCATCACTTTCTGAAAGCTCATCCTCCTCTTCATCCTCAGAATCACCTGCAGCATCACTCTCGTTTTCAGCCTCACTTTCACCTGCCATTCTATCATCCTGAGGTGAACTCTTTTCATTGGGAACTTTAACAGGGACATCTGAGCAGTCTTCTGTGTCTGCCTCGTTCCCGTCATCTATCTCATCCACTGACGATGGAAAGCTTGGAGCAGCCTTCACTTCAGGATGCAGGCCATTTTCAACAATAAGATAACTGCTTTGTGGGACATCCTTGACTATTTCATAGCCCTTACTGTCTGTCTCGGGTTCAGAGTGGGGGTAGTTCTCCGAGATTGGTTCCGAGAGTATGCTGCTGGTGAACGACATGACACTGCATCCCGATGGTGTTCGGGAGTGTCCCATGTGAGCGTAGATGTGGGCTGTGCCGCGGTGGGGGTTGTCCTCCATCTCCTTCTCAATGCACAGGACCATCTCATTGTACGCCTGCCGTGCCTTCTCTGTGTAGTCCATCAGCTTGTTGAACGTCTCCTGCAACAGAGAGGAAGCAATTGGTAAGTGAAGAAGATAGTAAGTTGGCTTTAACACCTGCTGTCAACAGAAGTCAATTATATTAACTTTGAGGGTGAAAATATCGGGGTACATATTCTTCATACGATCTCTGGAAATATCACTTTGTCATGATGACGTGACGTCATGAACAATGCTATGACATCATGTTTCTTCCATGACATTGCCTTCTACATGCGCCGACGAGTAGCCAGCCTATGTTTGAAAGCAAATTTGGGTTTATTTTTCTCAATTTGACGACTTCGGTAATAAACAGAATATTATATTCGTGCCCATATCATACTATGTTTACGACACTCATGCAAAAACATCGGTATATCCCTCGCTCTCACTCTGGAAATACCAACATTTAGGCACTCGTGTCGTAAACACAGTATGACATGGGCGCTCATATAATATCCTCTATATCTTGAGATGCATTAACTTGATATGGGGGAAAGCCTGGAGTGATACCTGTCTCCCAAATCTGCCACCGTGGACAAATCATCTGCTCGAGGGAACAACTTTACACAACGAATTGTGACACTTCTGACAACTAATGAGATACCGAACAACATTAAACTAGTGTGTCTCCAAAATGAAATGTCAAGATATACCCTAACAGATGCCTAGAGTTGAGTTACCTTGAAATTTATGAACTAACTAGCAACAGTAACATGAAAAGTGTCAACTATATTGGGAGAACCTCAAACTGACGCATTCTAGGGGAGATAACTCCTATATAACAATTTCAATAAACGTCACTGCCAAGTTCACTTGATAAACTTGTCCCTTTTACCTTTTGACTTGTGTCTTTTCTCGGGGGACACCAGAAATGGGCTTCACACATTGTACCCATGTGGGGATTCAAACCCGGGTCTTCGGCGTGACGAGCCAACGCTTTAACCACTAGGCGAGTTATTTAACCACTAGTCTAACACCATCCCTAGAGACTTGACACACTGTTTTTACTTTACTGATGATATATTGAACTAAGTACACTGCTCTCGGACAAGGGAGGTAACTCACTTCACAGCCATCATAGTTAAATACTCCAGCACAGCTGACAGGAACCAGCTTAGCACACGCCCGACCCAGAGCGCGGCGACCCAGGGCAAACACGAAGGGGATGTTCTGGTCCTGGCACATGTTGAGGATGTTGTTGAGGGCGTCGTCAAGACCTCCTGTAGTTGCAATGTTTTCATGGATTTTGAAGTTGTCATACATGTGCTACTCAACATATATACATGTGTTACTGAACATATACATGTGCTACTCAACATATATACAAATGTTGCTCAACATATATGTCTGTGTTACTCAACATATATACATGAGTTACTCAACATATATACATGTGCTACTCAACATATATATATGTTACTCAACATATATACATGAGTTACTCAACATATATATATGTTACTCAACATATATACACGTGTTACTCAACATATATACACGTGTTACTCAACATATATACACGTGTTACTCAACATATATACATGAGTTACTCAACATATCTATATGTGTTAATAAACATATATACACTTAGGCTAGACCCAGCATACTGAGACTCCATATATAGCGGAGAGTGTGTCTTTAAACCACACCCATGTGATGTTACACTTAGACTAGACCAAGCATACTGAGTAGAGAGTGTGTCTTTAAACCACACCCATGTGATGTTACACTTAGACTACACCAAGCATACTGAGACAAGAGTGTGTCTTTAAACCACACCCATGTGATGTTACACTTAGACTAGACCAAGCATACTGAGCGGAGAGTGTGTTTAAACCACACCCATGTGATGTTACACTTAGGCTAGACCCAGCATACTGAGTAGAGTGTGTGTTTAAACCACACCCATGTGATGTTACACTTAGACTAGACTCAGCATACTGAGTAGACAGTCTGTGTTTAAACCACACCCATGTGATGTTACACTTAGGCTAGACCAAGCATACTGAGTATAGAGTCTGTGTTTAAACCACACCCATGTGATGTTACACTTAGACTAGACTCAGCATACTGAGTAGAAAGTCTGTGTTTAAACCACACCCATGTGATGTTACACTTAGACTAGACTCAGCATACTGAGTAGAGAGTGTGTTTAAACCACACCCATGTGATGTTACACTTAGGCTAGACCCAGCATACTGAGTAGAGTGTGTGTTTAAACCACACCCATGTGATGTTACACTTAGACTAGACTCAGCATACTGATGTAGAGAGTCTGTGTTTAAACCACACCAATGTGATGTTACACTTAGACTAGACTCAGCATACTGAGTATAGAGTCTGTGTTTAAACCACTCCCATGTGATGTTACACTTAGACTAGACCCAGCATACTGAGTATAGAGTCTGTGTTTAAACCACTCCCATGTGATGTTACACTTAGACTAGACCCAGCATACTGAGTAGAGAGTGTGTCTTTAAACCACACCCATATGATGTTACACTTAGACTAGACCCAGCATACTGAGTGGAGAGTGTGTCTTTAAACCACACCCATATGATGTTACACTTAGACTAGACCCAGCATACTGAGTGGAGAGTGTGTCTTTAAACCACACCCATATGATGTTACACTTAGACTAGACCCAGCATACTGAGTGGAGAGTGTGTCTTTAAACCACACCCATATGATGTTACACTTAGACTAGACCCAGCATACTGAGTGGAGAGTGTGTCTTTAAACCACACCCATATGATGTTACACTTAGACTAGACCCAGCATACTGAGTGGAGAGTGTGTCTTTAAACCACACCCATATGATGTTACACTTAGACTAGACCCAGCATACTGAGTGGAGAGTGTGTCTTTAAACCACACCCATGTGATGTTACACTTAGACTAGACCCAGCATACTGAGTAGAGAGTGTGTCTTTAAACCACACCCATGTGAAGTTACACTTAGACTAGACTCAGCATACTCAGTAGAGAGTGTGTTTAACCACCCCTGTGTGACGTCGTCACCTTTTGATTGGATCTTCTCCAAGTTGGGTGAGATAATGACACACTTGATTTTCTTCAGCTTCAGGTGCTTTGTCACCTCCCGCAGCCCCAACACCAGCCTCCGCCGCATCTTCGCCTACAACATCAGCACCATCATTCAACTACATATATTTACTTACAAAACAAGTCCCTGTTACACACAATTTTCATTCTTAATGAGATAAATCAGATATATTTAAAAAAAAAATTTAATATCATAATATCAAAAAGAATGTTCATGCTATCAAAATTTCAAGCAGATTTTGCAACAGGTAGATGTTAAAACTCCGTGGACATTCGAGATGAATGGAGCATTCCAGAATCAGATCAATAATAGCCTCCTGGGTAATACTGATGGTCTTCAGACTTCCCCATACACTCCCCGCTGCTGCCTTTACTTGTACTGTTTGTTTGGACGCCAGCTTGAGCGTCCATTTTAACTCTCGGAGTTACGGGTGTTTGAAGAATATTTAAGGGCTAGAAACCGTTCAAAACGGTGGCAGAACACGTTTTTGACACGAGAGCGGATCGGTGAAATGCAGCCGGGGTCGCGGGGTCATTTAGCTTTTAAATAGTTCCCTCTTTAACAGGCTGTACCTCCGCTGTCCTTGGTTCTACGGTCCAAACGATTAGTGTTCTGCAATCGCCGTGATCCTAGCTATCTGACGCCAGACGCCTGGAAACCGCGGTGGCTGTGCGGTCTAGGCATCAGACTTTGTGCGATTAGGTGCCTGACTCTGAGGGTGTGGGTTCGAATCCCGGATGGGACTCAACCCAAAAAGTACTAGAATCTGTACTTTACTAAGAAAGTGCAATCCCAAATATAACGTATGCTACATATCACCACTTTCTAAAATGGCATTGTGTATTTCATACGTAGTGAAATTCAATCGATAATCTGCCCAATCCACTCGTAACATTTGACAGTTAGCTGCTTTCTGTTACGCATTTGTTTTTTACCGATAAGTCAGTTTTGACTTACTTTTTCATTATCATTAGGTTACAAAAGCTGCATAATGTTTTAGCAAGTCAAGTAGTAATCAAAACGATTGCGTAATTTCCTTTGCGTATTTGGGGTGCCACAGATATATTTGAGTGGGTATTTTGGAAATTTTGAAGTGTATTTGATGCAGATACACAGCTTATCTAGACTTCCGGGGCATAGTAAAAACATAGATCAATATACATCATATCTACAAGTCAGTGCAGAGTGAGTGAGTTAGTTAGTTTTACGCCACACTCAGCAACATTCCAGCTATATGGTGAGGGTCTGTAAATAATCGAATCTGGACCAGAATATCCAGTGACAACCGCACGAGCATCGATATGCGCAATTGTGAATTGATGACATGTGGCAACCAAGTCAACGAGCCTGACCACCCGATCTCTTTAGTCGCCTCTTACAACAAGCATGGGTTACTAAAGATCAATATTCTCACCCGGACCATCACAGGTTATTCAGTGTAGAACCTTACAACAGCAAGGAGCAAGGATCATGTAGCTACTGTTTCCGGGTCACGGAAGCATACAAGGTCAAACAGCTCCCGTCACACCCCATAAAATGTATGGTCAAAAACACAAGGGTGTTTTTCACATGTGTTTAATCACACTCAATAGTTATTCAATCTGGGTTTGACACATGAAATATTTTAAAATTTACAGCTAATATTCTGCTGCCAAAGATTATTGGCAAACAACCCCTGTCAGTTACAGTGGTCTTTGCACTTATTGGAAAATGTTGTTAGATTCACGCACTAAGCGTTTGTTTCTTTCTCTCATCACAGTAAACCTAGAAATGAATGAAACTCTCATCTGAAGGAGAAGTTCATCATCTTCTGCAAAGGTGTAAACATTAAAGCTCAGTTAAACATGAGTTGTAGGAGATATGATTACTGAAATTGGTCAGCAGAAATCTAACGATTTATACCAATGTATAAAACATAGCCCGTCCCACCTTCCTTGACGCCCTATATTTGTGAAGGATGGTCTGTTACATAAGTAAGGCCATCGTTTGGTTGGGGGGACATATTTGAAAAAAATAGACATAACTTGGTTTGAACTTCGTCTTATCTATTGTGTTTTCGATGTTTTAGTTTTTGGGACTGGCTGTGTTTGTTTAGGACTGGAAACGTTTTTTGACAGCCAGTACTTCAAGTTATTTTATACACTGCTTATACAGGTTCCTCATGTGTCAATCAAGTAAATTCCGGAATATTTACATCATTTATGTTTGCTTTGGCCTGTATGTTTGAAAATATCACAATATTCTGGAATAACATGTACTTTTACAGGGGTTCAAAAATCCCATCGCCTGACGCCCGGGACAAGTCAGTTTTCATTTCGGGCAATCAAATAATGGTATCTTACTTGTCCGTGGGCTCCTCGATAATTTCCACTAATGGTTTCAAACAAATAAACTTGGATTTAATTTCATGTCTGCTCAAAATGTAACTATTACATTTCGCAATGATAATAAAGTAGAGTTATCTTTCTTTGCTATTTATCACTTTTCAATAAATAGTCCAGTAAACATTAACATCAAATATCATGTTGATTTCTTCTTTCAAAATTACATTATCATAATTATGTCATAAAAACAGGGCAAGTGGAATATTAGTCGGGACAAGTCACTTTCTTAAAGTCACTTGTCCTGTGGCAAATGGCTTTTTAAAATAATTTTGAAGCCCTGTTTTTCTATCGAGTATTAACGCGTGAACAATTGGTTCAGCGGCTCCTTGCAGAATGACGTCCATGAAATCACCAAGTAATTCACAGGCTAAAGAATAATCTGATGAGTGAATAACTAACAGCCATTTTGTCAGTATGCCAGTAGATAGTCAGCCTCAGGGAAGATAACCATATTTCATTCTTCCTGAATCTATTACAGCTGGTTCCAAGGTCTGTCAGGGATACCACTGTAACCTTCTATTACAGCTGGTTCCAAGGTCTGTCAGGGATACCACTGTAACCTTCTATTACAGCTGGTTCCAAGGTCTGTCAGGTATACCACTGTAACCTTCTATTACAGCTGGTACCAAGGTCTGTCAGGGATACCACTGTAACCTTCTATTACAGCTGGTTCCAAGGTCTGTCAGGGATACCACTGTAACCTTCTATTACAGCTGGTTCCAAGGGTCTGTCAGGGATACCACTGTAACCTTCTATTACAGCTGGTTCCAAGGTCTGTCAGGGATACCACTGTAACCTTCTATTACAGCTGGTTCCAAGGTCTGTCAGGGATACCACTGTAACCTTCTATTACAGCTGGTTCCAAGGTCTGTCAGGGATACCACTGTAACCTTCTATTACAGCTGGTTCCAAGGTCTGTCAGGGATACCACTGTAACCTTCTATTACAGCTGGTTCCAAGGTCTGTCAGGGATACCACTGTAACCTTCTATTACAGCTGGTTCCAAGGTCTGTCAGGGATACCACTGTAACCTTCTATTACAGCTGGTTCCAAGGGTCTGTCAGGGATACCACTGTAACCTTCTATTACAGCTGGTTCCAAGGTCTGTCAGGGATACCACTGTAACCTTCTATTACAGCTGGTTCCAAGGTCTGTCAGGGATACCACTGTAACCTTCTATTACAGCTGGTTCCAAGGTCTGTCAGGGATACCACTGTAACCTTCTATTACAGCTGGTTCCAAGGTCTGTCAGGGATACCACTGTAACCTTCTATTACAGCTGGTTCCAAAGGTCTGTCAGGGATACCACTGTAACCTTCTATTACAGCTGGTTCCAAGGTCTGTCAGGGATACCACTGTAACCTTCTATTACAGCTGGTTCCAAGGTCTGTCAGGGGATACCACTGTAACCTTCTATTACAGCTGGTTCCAAGGTCTGTCAGGGATACCACTGTAACCTTCTATTACAGCTGGTTCCAAGGTCTGTCAGGGATACCACTGTAACCTTCTATTACAGCTGGTTCCAAGGTCTGTCAGGGATACCACTGTAACCTTCTATTACAGCTGGTTCCAAGGTCTGTCAGGGATACCACTGTAACCTTCTATTACAGCTGGTTCCAAGGTCTGTCAGGGATACCACTGTAACCTTCTATTACAGCTGGTTCCAAGGTCTGTCAGGGATACCACTGTAACCTTCTATTACAGCTGGTTCCAAGGTCTGTCAGGGATACCACTGTAACCTTCTATTACAGCTGGTTCCAAGGTCTGTCAGGGATACCACTGTAACCTTCTATTACAGCTGGTTCCAAGGGTCTGTCAGGGATACCACTGTAACCTTCTATTACAGCTGGTTCCAAGGGTCTGTCAGGGATACCACTGTAACCTTCTATTACAGCTGGTTCCAAGGTCTGTCAGGGATACCACTGTAACCTTCTATTACAGCTGGTTCCAAGGTCTGTCAGGGGATACCACTGTAACCTTCTATTACAGCTGGTTCCAAGGTCTGTCAGGGATACCACTGTAACCTTCTATTACAGCTGGTTCCAAGGTCTGTCAGGGGATACCACTGTAACCTTCTATTACAGCTGGTTCCAAGGTCTGTCAGGGATACCACTGTAACCTTCTATTACAGCTGGTTCCAAGGTCTGTCAGGGATACCACTGTAACCTTCTATTACAGCTGGTTCCAAGGTCTGTCAGGGATACCACTGTAACCTTCTATTACAGCTGGTTCCAAGGGTCTGTCAGGGATACCACTGTAACCTTCTATTACAGCTGGTTCCAAGGTCTGTCAGGGATACCACTGTAACCTTCTATTACAGCTGGTTCCAAGGTCTGTCAGGGATACCACTGTAACCTTCTATTACAGCTGGTTCCAAGGTCTGTCAGGGATACCACTGTAACCTTCTAACCTACAGCTGGTTCCAAGGTCTGTCAGGGATACCACTGTAACCTTCTATTACAGCTGGTTCCAAGGTCTGTCAGGGGATACCACTGTAACCTTCTATTACAGCTGGTTCCAAGGGTCTGTCAGGGATACCACTGTAACCTTCTATTACAGCTGGTTCCAAGGTCTGTCAGGGATACCACTGTAACCTTCTATTACAGCTGGTTCCAAGGGTCTGTCAGGGATACCACTGTAACCTTCTATTACAGCTGGTTCCAAGGTCTGTCAGGGATACCACTGTAACCTTCTATTACAGCTGGTTCCAAGGTCTGTCAGGGATACCACTGTAACCTTCTATTACAGCTGGTTCCAAGGTCTGTCAGGGATACCACTGTAACCTTCTATTACAGCTGGTTCCAAGGTCTGTCAGGGATACCACTGTAACCTTCTATTACAGCTGGTTCCAAGGTCTGTCAGGGATACCACTGTAACCTTCTATTACAGCTGGTTCCAAGGTCTGTCAGGGATACCACTGTAACCTTCTATTACAGCTGGTTCCAAGGTCTGTCAGGGGATACCACTGTAACCTTCTATTACAGCTGGTTCCAAGGTCTGTCAGGGATACCACTGTAACCTTCTATTACAGCTGGTTCCAAGGTCTGTCAGGGATACCACTGTAACCTTCTATTACAGCTGGTTCCAAGGTCTGTCAGGGATACCACTGTAACCTTCTATTACAGCTGGTTCCAAGGTCTGTCAGGGGATACCACTGTAACCTTCTATTACAGCTGGTTCCAAGGTCTGTCAGGGATACCACTGTAACCTTCTATTACAGCTGGTTCCAAGGTCTGTCTACCGCCATTTGGCAGTGTGTTTACTGCTGTTCCCCAAGTCAGTCTATTGGCATCCCCAGATCTGTCTACCATCATTCCCCAGATCTGTCTACCATCATTCCCCAGATCTGTCTACCATCATTCCCCAGGTCTGTCTACCATCATTCCCCAGGTCAGTCTACTGGTGTTCCCCAAGTCTACTGCCATTTGGAGATCTATCTACTACTGTTCCCCAAGTCAGTCTATTGGCATCCCCAGATCTGTCTACCATCATTCCCCAGGTCAGTCTACTGGCGTTCCCCAAGTCTACTGCCATTTGGAGATCTATCTACTACTGTTCCCCATTTCTGCCTATTGCCGTTCACCAGATCTGTCGAGTGTGGCTACCTTCACAGGGTCCTTGTGGAACATGCGGTCCTGGAATCGGACCAGGTCCTGGAGGAACTCTGTGCAGCACATGTCGATGTCCTTGTCCAGTACCTGGTTACAGTACCTACAACAACAGCCAGGGGTCAGCTGACATTCTGCAGTGTGTGCAAAGCAATATTTTCTCAGAATAGCTGTGAGTTATTTCCATTCACAAAAAAACATATTTACTCTCTGAACCTTTGTGACACTGACAAAGAGTTATCTCCTGCTAGACTTTGATGCAACTTACTGCCATGAACTGTATCTGTGGTTTGCAAATGTGAAGAATTTTTAAAAAAGTTTGTTGTTGTTTATTCAATTCCATAGAATCATACATATGTAAGGCAGACATGTTACATGGACAATAAACATGTCAAAGATCATTAATGTTTTGCAGGTCATGGAATACGGTAATGGGTACATATATGTTTTAACAGATTATTTTATAATTCACAATATTACAAATACATACACATACACACATATACATGTAAACCTGCCACTCAGTTATAGAGTGATCTTTGAGACTAAGTGGGGACTTACTCTCTGAACCTGCCACTCAGTTATAGAGTGATCTTTGAGACTGAGTGGGGACTTACTCTCTAAACCTGCCACTCAGTTATAGAGTGATCTTTGAGACTTTGAGACTGAGTGGGGACTTACTCTCTGAACCTGCCACTCAGTTATAGAGTGATCTTTGAGACTGAGTGGGGACTTACTCTCTGAACCTGCCACTCAGTTATAGAGTGATCTTTGAGACTGACTGAGCCTCTCTAGGAGTGATCTTTGAGACTGAGTGGGGACTTACTCTCTGAACCTGCCACTCAGTTATAGAGTGATCTTTGAGACTGAGTGGGGACTTACTCTCTGAACCTGCCACTCAGTTATAGAGTGATCTTTGAGACTGAGTGGGGACTTACTCTCTGAACCTGCCACTCAGTTATAGAGTGATCTTTGAGACTGAGTGGGGACTTACTCTCTGAACCTGCCACTCAGTTATAGAGTGATCTTTGAGACTGAGTGGGGACTTACTCTCTGAACCTGCCACTCAGTTATAGAGTGATCTTTGAGACTGAGTGGGGACTTACTCTCTGAACCTGCCACTCAGTTATAGAGTGATCTTTGAGACTGAGTGGGGACTTACTCTCTGAACCTGCCACTCAGTTATAGAGTGATCTTTGAGACTGAGTGGGGACTTACTCTCTGAACCTGCCACTCAGTTATAGAGTGATCTTTGAGACTGAGTGGGGACTTACTCTCTGAACCTGCCACTCAGTTATAGAGTGATCTTTGAGACTGAGTGGGGACTTACTCTCTGAACCTGCCACTCAGTTATAGAGTGATCTTTGAGACTGAGTGGGGACTTACTCTCTGAACCTGCGACTGTGTATTTTCATCATTGCCTTGAGGTCCTTGCTGTGGCCGCCGGTGATGGGGCTGTTGACGCCAGAGCTGAGGGGGCTAGTCCCAGGGGACAGCGGGCTCATGGAAATTGGGGACGTTTGGCTGATGGGGGACAGGTCGGCACTGGTTGATGCTCCGTTGCCAAGCTCCATCGAACTCTTGGAACTCAAACCTGTCAAATGAAGAGCAATTTTTGTGAACAGCACAGGTTGTTAAGAACATATTAAGGACTTAATCTAACCCCAAAAATCAACAAGAATCTGACATGACACCGAGAGCACGATGTAGTTGAAACTAAGTATATCTGTCTTTGTAGAGGTACCAAGGTGAGGGTGCTGAGTGTCTGTGTACATCGGTACAAGAACATTATAGTGTCAACCACTGCAGTATTGCTGGAAAACAGCTGAAAACAGCACTAAACTCACTGTCGCTATGGTGACCTTTCACACTTCTCCAACACTTACCGTCTTGTGACAGGTCACTCTCCGCATTAACCACGCCAATACCCACAGGCGGTCTGGTAAGAAAATAGAGAAGATCATGTAGCCATGGCAACACATACAACAGCAAATGTAACAAGACTCTTCTGTAATCAATAATCAGTGATTAACACCATGTGTCTTGAGCTACCCAACTCTGAATGTATGTATGGCGTGTATTAACCCTGTGTGAACACTCCTGCCACCTGTCACAATTAAGGCAGAGATGCCAACCCTATTTTGGGCCTAAGTGTAATACTTGAGGTCAAAAAGTGTAATTTGGACCTTGAAAGTGTAGTCCTTGTCTGCCGATCGCTTCAAAATGGTACACGTTTTCACAAAAGGAAGATTCCAGACAGAAACACATGTGACGAATCATGATGAAGCTCCATAAATCGAAAATTGTTGGTCATGTTACTCAAAATACTTTAATTCCTTGCGAGTTAATTGGAATGAGTGCGATGCTAAGAGTAAGCGATTCCTATTGATGCAAGGCCATTTCTGCACCCCTGCACCTGTGCGTTATAAAACACTTCCCTGTGATATTTTATCCACTTTATTGATTTTTCGCAAAACAAGTTGAAAAGCATAAATTTCGCAGATTAAGTGTAATGGCGTAATTTAATGGTCAAAAGCGTAATAATTACGTCAAAAGCGTAATGATTGGCATCTCTGTTAAGGGTTAGTGAAGGATGCCGCCACATAACTTGACTTGATGTCACATGAACCTCCTATCAATCTGACCAATCTTACTCGGCTATATGGAGTCCACTTGGGTCGTTGTCATCGTCCAGAAGCCGCATCTTCTTCTTCTGCTCCCCGCTCTTTCAGGATCACCTACAACCCCAAGGTCAAGGTCATACGAATACCAGTAACATGTTTGTGAAGCCAAAAGTTATGGAGAATGGGTAGAAAGTAAAAACAAAATGACCACTGGGTGTACAGTAAGAGTGAGTAAGTGAGTTTAGTTTTACAGCTCTTTTTGCAATATTCCAGCAATATCGTGGCGGGGACACCAGAAAGCGGGATCACACACTGTACCCATGTGAGGAATCGAACTGTGCTTTCGGCATGATGAGCGGACACTTGAACCATTAGACTACCCCACGCCCTGTGTACAAGAAACCAATCCATACCTTCTTCAAGGGACTTGGTTTCTTGGGCTTTGCATTTTCTCTCTCTTTTCCTCGTTTGGCAGGTGCGGATGAATCCAAGATATTGGCTGACACTTTGGACTGCTATAAATAGAAGTGGTAAACTAAACAAACGTTCCATTTTACCTGACACTCAAACTGTAGGTTTTCAAATTGTTAAGCATTTACAGAAAATTTACTGATTAATTTGAACACCCCCTCCCCCAAAAACAAAACAAAACTAAACATGCTAGAACTAATGCTTCAAATGGAACTACAGTGAAATCCCGATGAGTCAAATGCGGTGTCTCTAATATTATGCATAGTACTTCGAAGTTACCTGTACAGCTTTCTTTTTATTCCCCAGACCATTCCTGTTATAGTTGTCATCATTTGATTTCCGGTTACCTGTTAATTCGACTCATAAATACACATGATGACTCAAAATGGAAATTTGGTCCCATGAGATTCAAACAACAGCAATCTTGTATACATAAGCCGAAGTCAGTCAATGAGAAGTTGACTGGTGTAGCAAACTGATCCAATTAACAAACCAGCGCGGCTCACACCTTTCCGCTATTGTCGGTTGAATTCAAAAGGCAGATTAGTGATTTTACGGAAACGGAAGAATTAGCACATGACACTGAGTTAACTTAATCAAATCGGTTGCGTTATATAGCAGCTTTCATTTGGTTATTACTATTCATGATCTGTATATCACGGCGGAGGTACAATGTTCCCAGCAATCTTGGGGGATGACCAGATCGGAAACATCAACTCCAAAAGGTAAGTTTATTTAGATATGATGTGCTGAATAAAGGAATTGTTCAATATTCGAGCATCTTTTTTTCTACCCTCATAGATATACCTATGTCTCAAATACATCGATAAGTCGAATCTATTACTTGGTCCACAGCGATTCGACTCATCGGATTTGACTTTATCATCAAAACTGTATGTTCCACAGGAGATATATCGCTTGTGTGAGATCAAGCGATATCTCCTAGTAGATTTTATACAATGCCCTGACAATGCCATGACGTCATGTATTTGATGACATCACAATGCCATGACATCACTGCACTGCAAGTGTAATGGCAGTACCATGTTCAGAGATGTACATTTTTCATTGAAAATTAATGAAGATTTTGGATGATAAATAGAATCTCACCCTCGTGTCTTCTGATATCAAATAAACCAACACGAGTTGATAAAGTTACAAATGATATGCAAGCCTCGGATAATTTTACTTTATGAACGAGTGTTGATATATGTTGATATATTGACATCAGAAGACACGAGGGTGAGATTCTCTATGTATCTCCAGTAAGGGCAGAAATTGATCTTTGCCTGCAGACATGACTGACTGACTGACTGAGTTTAGTTTTCGCCGCTTTTAGCAATATTTGCAATACCAGAAATGGGCTTAACACATTGTGCCCATGTGGGGAATTGAACCCGGGTCTTGGTGATGAGCCAACGTAATAACCACTAGGCTACCCCATTCTGTAGACATGAGGCCAGTAGATAAAATTATAATTTGCCTACAGGACCTGTGAGTTTTTGGACATATGATGTGAATTGTCTCTTTGATCAAGTCAAGTCACTAAGATAGATGTTTAGACTCAACCCTCGAATTCTTAATGAAGGAAGGAAGGACTGGCAACCGTGAACATCTCTATCAGAAAAGAAACACAACATTATGACCTTGAGGCTTGGGCTGATTTTCTAGAAACCTTCCATCCCTTTTTGACTGCCTCCAAAACAATATTCATAGAACATTTGGACTGTCCTGGCAAATAACATCTCATATAACATAGAACATTTGGACTGTCCTGGCAAATAACATCTCATATAACATAGAACATTTGGACTGTCCTGGCAAATAACATTTCATATAACATAGAACATTTGGACTGTCCTGGCAAATAACATCTCATATAACATAGAACATTTGGACTGTCAGGCAAAATAACATCTCATATAACATAGAACATTTGGACTGTCCTGGCAAATAACATCTCATCACATAACATAAACAATAATATTACAGATGAATTCTGACACAGTGGTCAGTAACATATCATACATGCAACTATTATTTAACCCAAAGAAATATATGCTAACATTGTGTAATTTTAATAGCAGGTTTTCTCTATAAACGTAAAATATGTATAATGAACACTAAAGTTTTATTGGGACCCCCATGAACATGGTCAGGTCAAGTTGTACGCACATGGAATGGGGTCAAATACGCAAGCCATTAAACTGACTGAGTTCAGTTTTACACCGATTTTAGCAATATTCCAGCAATATCACGGCGGTGGACACCAGAAATGGGCTTCACACATTGTGCCCATGTGGGGAATCGAACCCGGGTCTTCGGTGTGACGAGCCAACGCTTTAACCACTAGGCTACCCCATCGCCCCGCATGCCATTAAAATTCACACAAGTTTTCACCAATATTCTGGTAAACTAGCGGTCCTTGGATATCGAGGCAGTAATCAGTTTGTGATTGTTGATTATATGTGCAATTAGTGCTATCGCGGTAGAAGCGAAAAACATACCCACACGAACATGGTCAGCGGAAGTTGTACGCACATGGAATGGGGTAAAATAAGCAAGCGAGTTTGTTGACATGTGATCAGCTACAGTAAGTATGATATTTAGCAAAACAAAAAATCCATTTTCTGTCAACTGCACTTCATTTTGAGGTGTGAGTAGACACAATATAATTATATGATTGTGAATTCTTTGAACAATGCGGACTGAAGTTGTAATTATCAGTAACTGACAGTTGTTTGTGGTCTGACTTTGCTGCAATTAGGACCTTATCGCTGGGGATTGGCTTAAGTACGAAACATACCATTTTGACACTGATTTTAAGGGTCAAGTGAAGGGGTCAGCTTATCTATGGGGTTGGCTTATCTACAAATTGTGCTGTTTCTGTCGTTTTTGTTACTAGTACAATGGTGTATGTCTCGGAATGCACAGCATCATCGGACTATTGAAAGAGCCATAACTTCTTCTGTTTTCCAATGAAAAAGACAGATTTAGGCAGGAGAAATGTTCTGATCGAGTCGGGCGCATATGAAAGAGACATGCACACCTGGGTTATGAAAATCCAAAAGATTCATTTATACTACATCATTCCATGCTACAACTTCCTGTCAGTATTATTTTTAACATGGATTAAATCAAGTCCAGTCGAATTGCCCCAGCTACAAAATGCCTCAGCAAATTTGGTCAAATTACCCAAGATTTCTGGTCAAATTTCACCATGGGGTAGTCGCAATGCCCCAATTTATTTAAAATGATTAAATATATGCCATAAATGCATAGTTTTGTCATCTTAGATATTATGTTCTTCCTATAAAACTATATACATAGTTATGAGTTTACTAATGGAACATTTATCAGAAGTATTACTTCCTCATGGGCGGTTCCAGGAATTTTGAAAGGGGGTTGGGTGTTGGTTAAAATACACCTGAACCCCCTGGCTCCCAACATAAATTGTTTTCAAGTCATTTTCAGGGGGTGGGGGGTTTGGGGGTGAAGTGTCCCCTCCCCCAGATCTGCCACTGCTTCCTAACAACCTTTATAAGAAGACCATGATATCAAAGTTGACAAAGAAATGTGCATTTAAAGTATATATAATCATTTTAAATACAGTTGACCAAATTAGGATCAATGACCAAATTTGCTGGGGCAGTTCGACTGGTACCCATGAGATTTATATTATCAAAATCAGTTTTCTCTATCTATGTTTTCTCTATATAACATTCGTTCTGATTTAGAGCCCTAAATGGTGCGGTCTACCTGAAAAATTGCTGAATACAACGGCAAATCATTAAGTACTTCCTACATTCATTGTTTTCTATTTTGTCCAATTACGCATCTCGGCATCAGACTTGCTACTTGTCAGTAGTGTGTGCTGTGAAAATTGTTCTGTATATTCATTGGCTGACAAGATGTCATTCTAAGGTTTTGACTGAGCACCAAAACTATTTACATAAGCAAAATCTATATAGGGAAGTATCCAATGTCCTGACTAGTATCTTATAATTCACCAGTTTTCAGGGAATAACTGATCTGCATCGCGTATATTATCTCTGCTGGCCCAGGCTGGGATCTTGTATGGAACTTGATACGTAATTAATGAGAACTAGGATCCTAATTTTTTTCCACAAAATAATCACAGTGAAATTTTTGTAGTAGATAATTTCTACTATCCCCCGTCTGAAGCATAATCATTTTTTAAAGTTTTACAGTATGACACTGCTGATCATCTTTGCCTACAACTGTCATAGGTCAGTGTTAAAGTACGACACTGCTGATCATCTTTGCCTACAACTGTCATAGGTCAGTGTTAAAGTATGACACTGCTGATCATCTTTGCCTACAACTGTCATAGGTCAGTGTTAAAGTACGACACTGCTGATCATCTTTGCCTACAACTGTCATAGGTCAGTGTTAAAGTACGACACTGCTGATCATCTTTGCCTACAACTGTCATAGGTCAGTGTTAAAGTACGACACTGCTGATCATCTTTGCCTACAACTGTCATAGGTCAGTGTTAAAGAATGCGACACTGCTGATCATCTTTGCCTACAATTGGCAAAGGTGAGTGTTAAAATCGACACTGCTGATCATCTTTGCCTACAACTGTCATAGGTCAGTGTTAAAAATGCGACACTGCTGATCATCTTTGCCTACAACTGTCATAGGTCAGTGTTAAAGTACGACACTGCTGATCATCTTTGCCTACAATTGGCAAAGGTGAGTGTTAAAGTACGACACTGCTGATCATCTTTGCCTACAACTGTCATAGGTCAGTGTTAAAGTACGACACTGCTGATCATCTTTGCCTACAACTGTCATAGGTCAGTGTTAAAGTACGACACTGCTGATCATCTTTGCCTACAATTGGCAAAGGTGAGTGTTAAGAAATCACGACACTGCTGATCATCTTTGCCTACAACTGTCATAGGTCAGTGTTAAAGTATCTGACACAGCTGATCATCTTTGCCTACAACTGTCATGGGTCAGTGTTAAAGTACTCGACACTGCTGATCATCTTTGCCTACAATTGGCAAAGGTGAGTGTTAAAATCACACTGCTGATCATCTTTGCCTACAACTGTCATAGGTCAGTGTTAAAGTGCGACACTGCTGATCATCTTTGCCTACAACTGTCATAGGTCAGTGTTAAAGAGTCTGACACTGCTGATCATCTTTGCCTACAACTGTCATAGGTCAGTGTTAAAGTCGCGACACTGCTGATCATCTTTGCCTACAATTGGCAAAGGTGAGTGTTAAAAATGCGACACTGCTGATCATCTTTGCCTACAACTGTCATAGGTCAGTGTTAAAGTACGACACTGCTGATCATCTTTGCCTACAACTGTCATAGGTCAGTGTTAAAGTACGACACTGCTGATCATCTTTGCCTACAATTGGCAAAGGTGAGTGTTAAAGTACGACACTGCTGATCATCTTTGCCTACAACTGTCATAGGTCAGTGTTAAAGAATCGACACTGCTGATCATCTTTGCCTACAACTGTCATAGGTCAGTGTTAAAGTCACGACACTGCTGATCATCTTTGCCTACAATTGTCAAAGGTCAGTGTTAAAGAATGCGACACTGCTGATCATCTTTGCCTACAACTGTCATAGGTCAGTGTTAAAGTCGACACTGCTGATCATCTTTGCCTACAACTGTCATAGGTCAGTGTTAAAGTACGACACTGCTGATCATCTTTGCCTACAACTGTCATAGGTCAGTGTTAAAGTACGACACTGCTGATCATCTTTGCCTACAACTGTCATAGGTCAGTGTTAAAGTACGACACTGCTGATCATCTTTGCCTACAACTGTCATAGGTCAGTGTTAAAGAATGCGACACTGCTGATCATCTTTGCCTACAACTGTCATGTCATAGGTCAGTGTTAAAGTACGACACTGCTGATCATCGTTGCCTACAATTGTCATAGGTCAGTGTGAAAGTAGGGCAGTATATGTCAGATCTCTTCTCCTCACCAGCTTCTCCTCTTTCTTCCGTCCAGGGCTCTTCCTCTCCTCTTCCAGGTTCACCTCTTTCTTCTTCTGAAATGTACAACAGAAGTTTGCTTGTGGAAAAAAAACATTATACTAATTATACTAGCAATTTATATTGTCCCTGTAAAAATAGCTGCTTAAGACGTATAATTTCTTCTGTTAATGGAACAGAAATTATCTGAAGTTTTATTTTCGGGTAGTTTTTAACTGAATCACTGGTGGAGCGAAATGTGTACACAGCTGATTGCGGCTTGAAAAACAGGAAGGATAACAGGAACGAAAATTGAATTATTATGACCTATCTGACCAAGCTCTACTATGAACTATCTAGATGAGCTCCACCTATGAACTATCAAGATGAGCTCCCCTATGAACTATCTAACCCAGCTCCCCCTATGAACTATCTAGATGAGCTCCCCCTATGAACTATCTAGATGAGCTCCCCTATGAACTATCTAACCCAGCTCCCCCTATGAACTATCTAGATGAGCTCCCCATATGAACTATCTAGATGAGCTCCCCGTATGAACTATCTAGATGAGCTCCTCCCTATGAACTATCTAGATGAGCTCCCCCTATGAACTATCTAACCCAGCTCTCCCTATGAACTATCTAGATGAGCTCCCCCTATGAACTATCTAGATGAGCTCCCCGTATGAACTATCTAGATGACCTCCCCGTATGAACTATCTAACCTAGCTCCCCCTATGAACTATCTAGATGAGCTCCCCCTATGAACTATCTAGATGAACTTCCCCTATGACCTATCTAGCCCAGCTTCCCCTATGACCTATCTGGCCCAGCTCCTCCTCCTGACCTATCTGGCCCAGCTCCCCTATGACCTATCTGGCCCAGCTCCTCCTATGACCTATCTAGCCCAGCTCCCCCTATGACCTATCTAGCCCAGCTCCTCCTATGACCTATCTAGCCCAGCTCCTATGACCTCTCTAGCCAAGCTCCTCCTATGACCTATCTAGTCAAGCAAGCTCCCTCTATGACCTATGTAGCCAAGCTCCTACAATCTGTATAGCCTCACCTCCAGTGCAGTGATCATAGCACCAATATCAAATGCAATTGGTTGTTTTGACTTCTTCCCTCCTCCTCCTCTGGCATCTTTCTTGGACTCTTGCACCACAGATGGCTCTGAGATTATTCCCCCTTGCTTGGAAGTCTTCTGTGACTTGCCAGAACTCCCCTCCTGACTTCCTGTGAGGCCCTGTTTGGGTTTGAGACTCAGCTCCTTCAGCATCTGCTGTTCCAGGCTGATCTCTGCCAACTCAACCTCTGCTGCCTTGTTGGCAAGCTCTCTCCGTTTCCTCCGTTTCCGAGCACTCTTGGATTCCTGTTTTGAGTCTGAAAGCATAAGTGACAAGTACAGTTGGGGGTGACTATAGAGGGGGTGACTATAGAGGGGGAAACAACTATTGCAAAAGATACTATTGCAATAATGATAGTCTATTGCAAGATACTATTGCAATAATGACAGTCTATTGCAAGATACTATTGCAATAATGATAGTCTATTGAAAGATACTATTGCAATAATGACAGTCTACTGCAAGATACTATTGCAATAATGATAGTCTATTGCAAGATACTATTGCAATAATGATAGTCTATTGCAAGATACTATTGCAATAATGATAGTCTATTGAAAGATACTATTGCAATAATGACAGTCTACTGCAAGATACTATTGCAATAATGATAGTCTATTGCAAGATACTACTGCAATAATGACAGTCTACTGCAAGATACTATTGCAATAATGATCGTCTATTGCAAGATACTATTGCAATAATGATAGTCTATTGCAAGATACTATTGCAATAATGATAGTCTATTGCAAGATACTATTGCAATAATGATAGTCTATTGAAAGATACTATTGCAATAATGATCGTCTATTGCAAGATACTATTGCAATAATGACAGTCTATTGCAAGATACTATTGCAATAATGATAGTCTATTGCAAGATACTATTGCAATAATGATAGTCTATTGAAAGATACTATTGCAATAATGATCGTCTATTGAAAGATACTATTGCAATAATGATCGTCTATTGAAAGATACTATTGCAATAATGACAGTCTATTGAAAGATACTATTGCAATAATGATCGTCTATTGAAAGATACTATTGCAATAATGATAGTCTATTGCAAGATACTATTGCAATAATGACAGTCTACTGCAAGATATTATTGCAATAATGACAGTCTATTGCAAGATACTATTGCAATAATGACAGTCTATTGCAAGATACTACTGCAATTATGATAGTCTATTGCAAGATACTATTGCAATAATGATAGTCTATTGCAAGATACTATTGCAATAATGACAGTCTACTGCAAGATATTATTGCAATAATGACAGTCTATTGCAAGATACTATTGCAATAATGACAGTCTATTGCAAGATACTATTGCAATTATGATAGTCTATTGCAAGATACTATTGCAATAATGACAGTCTATTGCAAGATACTATTGCAATAATGACAGTCTATTGCAAGATACTATTGCAATAATGATAGTCTATTGCAAGATACTATTGCAATAATGATAGTCTATTGCAAGATACTATTGCAATAATGATAGTCTATTGAAAGATACTATTGCAATAATGATAGTCTACTGCAAGATACTATTGCAATAATGATAGTCTATTGCAAGATACTATTGCAATAATGACAGTCTATTGCAAGATACTATTGCAATAATGATAGTCTATTGAAAGATACTATTGCAATAATGACAGTCTACTGCAAGATACTATTGCAATAATGATAGTCTATTGCAAGATACTATTGCAATAATGATAGTCTATTGCAAGATACTATTGCAATAATGATAGTCTATTGAAAGATACTATTGCAATAATGACAGTCTACTGCAAGATACTATTGCAATAATGATAGTCTATTGCAAGATACTACTGCAATAATGACAGTCTACTGCAAGATACTATTGCAATAATGATCGTCTATTGCAAGATACTATTGCAATAATGATAGTCTATTGCAAGATACTATTGCAATAATGATAGTCTATTGAAAGATACTATTGCAATAATGATCGTCTATTGAAAGATACTATTGCAATAATGATCGTCTATTGAAAGATACTATTGCAATAATGATCGTCTATTGAAAGATACTATTGCAATAATGACAGTCTATTGCAAGATACTATTGCAATAATGATCGTCTATTGAAAGATACTATTGCAATAATGATAGTCTATTGAAAGATACTATTGCAATAATGATCGTCTATTGAAAGATACTATTGCAATAATGATCGAGTCTATTGAAGATACTATTGCAATAATGATCGTCTATTGAAAAGATACTATTGCAATAATGATCGCTCTATTGCAAGATACTATTGCAATAATGATAGTCTATTGAAAGATACTATTGCAATAATGATCGTCTATTGAAAGATACTATTGCAATAATGATCGAGTCTATTGAAGATACTATTGCAATAATGACAGTCTATTGCAAGATACTATTGCAATAATGATCGATCTATTGAAAGATACTATTGCAATAATGATAGTCTATTGCAAGATACTATTGCAATAATGACAGTCTACTGCAAGATATTATTGCAATAATGACAGTCTATTGCAAGATACTATTGCAATAATGACAGTCTATTGCAAGATACTACTGCAATTATGATAGTCTATTGCAAGATACTATTGCAATAATGATAGTCTATTGCAAGATACTATTGCAATAATGACAGTCTACTGCAAGATATTATTGCAATAATGACAGTCTATTGCAAGATACTATTGCAATAATGACAGTCTATTGCAAGATACTATTGCAATTATGATAGTCTATTGCAAGATACTATTGCAATAATGACAGTCTATTGCAAGATACTATTGCAATAATGACAGTCTATTGCAAGATACTATTGCAATAATGATAGTCTATTGCAAGATACTATTGCAATAATGATAGTCTATTGCAAGATACTATTGCAATAATGATAGTCTATTGCAAGATACTATAGGTTTTTTCTCTCCTTGAATTGCCTCATTTGAAGTCATTTCCAAAATGAATGTTATAGTTTATATGAACTAAAAACAAGTTGAAGTAGTTTCAGTCTCTTTTAATAACTGACATTTAGAAACATGAAACCCACATCAAATAAACAGTAAAAACATAAACTTATGGTTATTTACACTCAAACTCACGTTTGTTTAAGATATGACAGGGGCAGATAACTCTAAATCAAAGTGAATGAATCTTGAACATCCTGCAGTCTAAGTAAACTTACGCCCACTATTATTCGCTGCACTGCTGGACCGATCATGAGTCTAACAAAACCTAGAAGGTCACTTTTGGGACTGACTGGATCAGAACACAGATTACCAAATTGCGAAAGTTAACAATCGCAAATACCGTTTGATCCTTTACCTAAAAAACTCGAACGATTCCAAATGCGATTCCGAGTGATACACGCAATGAGTAAACAGTCGCTGAAAATAGCGTTTTTTTCCCAATATTCAAGGATGTCATCTTGCAAAATATAAGCAAGCAGTAACCATGTCATTAGAAACCCATAAGCGTATATACTGCAGGTCAAATACGTGTGTTTTATGCGGATTTTCATTTGTTGATAGATCAATGTCAGCGACCTGGGAAGTGAAAATCAAAAAAACGTTTTGTAAGTCCCACCGAACCCTAACAAGTAGTCGTTGTGTCATTGGTAAAATCCGTTCGGACGTCTTGCGTTTGACTGGACAGTCATAGGTCGCTCAAAGGTTCAATGACACGACCTTCTACTAGGTTTTCTTAGCCTCAGTATAGCAGTGTAACGAATAATACTGAGCCTAAGTTTTCTTAGACTGGTACATCCTGTATTATGCACTGCCCACTATCAATGGAAGTCTATTACTAAACTATCGACAGTCACATACACTATTGATGCATCGCTAGTTTTTCGTTTCTACCATCGATTAATTGCCATCGGAGACTCAACAATTGCAATCCATCGATAGTTCGATGCATCGTTACAACACTACGTACATCAGGAGGTTTGTGTTACATTCTCACAAAATATTGTACACTTACATAAACAACCTCACTAGTCCACGTAAACAGATCTCCCTCAATCATGTTGGTCCAACTTCCAGTTACTGTGTTACTCACAAAATATCATCTACTTACATAAACAACCTCACTAGTCCACGTAAACAGATCTCCCTCAATCATTTTGGTCCAGCTCCCACAGTGAATACACAATGTCATATTATAAAGGGTCAAATGTGACATATGTTATTTTTGGGACTACACTTTCTCAGTAAAGTACAGATTCTATTACTTTTGTTGGGTTGATAATATCATCCGGGATTCAAACCCACACCCTCACTGGCACCTAATTGCCAGCACACAAAGTGTGACATCTAACCTACTCAGCCATCGCAGCTTCCACAGCCGTGGAAGAGCAGGTTACTTGCCTGACTTTGAGGATGTGGGTTCGAATCCCGGATGAGACTTAACGCAACAAAAGTACTAGAATCTGTACTTTACTTGGGAAGTGTGATCCCGAATATATGTTAGCCTACAGTCCCACAGAAATACATGTCAAGACACAGTAGTGCCAGATATTTGAGAACTTTTTGAGAACTATACTGAAAGGCAAAAGAAACTTTGTAATATTGGAAACGTGTATTTCAGGCATAAATTGTCAGCTTGAATGTCAATCGTTCACTTGTTTTCTGAACACAGCAGCTATGGCTTAGGCTAACGAGAGATGAATGACAACAAGCTACTGGACGTCTAGACGATGGTCAACGTGGCCTTTTCGTATATTTGAGAACCATTTCACTATTTACAGTCAGTATGAATATTGCAGTCATCGCTAGTTCTTCAGACAATATAGACTGATACATCAAACTGACAGTGTAACATTAGATACACATAAGACCACCTTAAAGCTTACACGAAACGCAAAACACAACTTTGCAGATTCTGATACCTTTCGGTATGGACTTACAGTAACAAATTTTCAAAAATGCAAATTCAACTAATAACATAAAGTTGAAAAATAACACGATGAAAAACATCCCACGAAATCGGAGTTCACATGATTCACTAAAAGAACCCAGCTGGGGTAAAAAGTGGTTTAAACAGCTGTACTGCGCTACGCACATAGCGTATGCGTAGTGAATAGGTTCACGAGGCTTGTATTAACAAAACCCAACATCTTTATACACACACAAAGAGCCCTGAGCGTATAGGCAAATGAACCAGCCAATGAAATCCTTCATTGCACTCAAGTGCACGCCCACGCACTCTCACTGGGTTCAGTGTGACGGGTG